CCCCAAAACCCCAAAACCCCAAAACCCCAAAACCCCTTCTTCTGTGAGAATTATTGAAAAGATATTTAATTTTAGACTTAATCTCCACCTTGGCCTCTTCTTCTCCAAAAGAAATGTATGAATACAAATATAGGATGAGCAACAATAGCTAGTATATATCTTCCCAAAACAGGAAGGAAACTGATTACTCTCTTAATGAATTTCCACAGCTTAGTCAGCAAGCCTAAATTTCTATTAGAAATGACGTATTTTTGAAGAAATTACGGCTTACTTTCAGTTTTGAAGTTCCCTTTAAACCCATGGGAAGATATCTTCTGATTGAGCTTGAGCAAGACTGGCTCAAATCCATAATGGAATAAATTTAGATACTTAATTTGACCCAGAAGGTTCTTTTGGATCAAGGAGTCAACTATAAATTTAGATAAAACCTTTGAAATAGAGGGATTTATTATTTAAGAATCTTACTTATGGTCTGAATATCTAATCTCTTCAAGCCAATATCTTCCATATGGAGATTCTTGAGATTTCTGAAGTCTCCTTGAAAACTGAGAGGGCGATCTGATTCAATAATGCTTCAGTTGTAAAAATAGATGCTCTCGAGATGGTCGAATTCCTTAAGCAAGTATTCAAGCTCTTGGATTGTTAAAATAAAATTCTTCAAAGTGAGAGATTGCTTCACAGTTTGTGCTAACAATAAAAAGTATCGATAATGTTTCTTTTCAAGTCTTATCTTGCTTCCATCAATATGTAACTCGTCAACTGTCTCAGGAAGATTGTTATTAACGAAAAGAGCAAACTTTGGGAAGTTTAGAAGCAAGTTTTCTAGATGAACTGCTCTTAAGTCTGGGATAGTTTTATTTCCTCAATGAGTTAATTAAGTAGTTGGATCTCTGCCCAACGAAGTTCACTCTGAGAGTAGAGTTTCTATGATATCTTTCTTTCGGGTTGTTCCTATACTGTTTGTCAATAAAATCTTGTCTCCTGACTGCGTCTACATAGTAGTCTGCTTCATTTCTACAAAAACGTTTAAATTTTCATTTACCTAACATGTCTTATAAATGCATTATACACCTTATTAGAGAGCTCATCATATGTAAGCTTGTCCTGCATAATATACTTCCCTGACGAAGAGTTCCCCATTTTTCTAATCCAAAAATCGCAATTAATTACCTTAAACCTGGGGTTTTGGGGTTTTGGGGTTTTGGGGTTTTGGGGTTTTGGGGTTTTGGGG